CTAATGGTAAAATTTTCAAGAGAAATGTCAAGGACATTTGTATATTACCTCTTGAATGAAAAAAAAAATTTTGTTTTTCTTATGCGTATTCTTTTTAGGAGAAATTATTTGAGTGAATTAATTTTTGTTTATAATTATATGTATTTTAATCAGCACATGTTATCCTATTGTATTTGTTCTCAATTTGTAATCATAGCAGAATTTAGTTGTTCATTATTTTTTATGATTCTAATAGTATTCATATGTTCTANTGAAAATCGCTGGGAGCAAGATCAGGGCTGTAGGGTGGATGATCAAACAACTCCGAGCCAAATTTCGTCAAAACAGCTGTTAAGTGACGCCAGAGGGCGTATGGGCCAGAGGGAAAATTGTAGTAGTAGTAGTAGTAGATGTTTGTAACTGCAACGATGAACCATCGCCACATCTCTCAATAAAATTGTTTTGTTTGAAAAAAGAAGATAGCTATTGTAAGTGCATGAAGTACCTACTTTCCATGTAAAAACATTGATTGATCGACCCTTGCTGGTCCATGTAATTCTTTCATACAAATTAAATATTAAGTTTATTGTTACAGTCCACTTTTCGTAATTTAGAATATTTCAAACACACTGACTCGATTCAGAAGTAATCGAAACGCACACAATGGTCCACGCCTAGCCGGAACTTTGAACAAATAAAAATGGATATTAAGACAGCGAATCGTCAGTGTGGAGCTTTGAAAGCTAAATTAACAAATTTAGAACATTACGTTACGTCAATTAAAGCAATGTCTGCGGTGGAAGAGAAACCAACGCTCATTGAATTAAATCATAAACTAGATAATCTCAAGAAATTTGAAACTGATTTGGAAAATCTACGGCTACAATACTACAAAATTGCAAAAGATGAAGATATAGAAGAGATCGATTCATCCCTGNCTTGAAAAAATTCTGCGTACGCCACTGCCCCTCTCTACCCCTCCTTCATCAAATATCGAAACCGCAAGCTCGGAAAACGGAACGGCGCTTCTCACATCTGGAAATTCAAACTTTGTTTTTATTAATACTGCTATAATTTACATTCAAGACTTGCATAATAGAAAAATACCCTTGAGAGCTGTTCTCGATTCTGCGGCCCAATCGAATTTCATTTGTAGTAAAGCGGCGAATATTCTAGGAAAAAATAAATATTCCGATTAGCGTATTAAATGATAGTTCTTTCAGCATTAAATATTATTTGACCACTCGTTTATCTAATTTAAATAATGATTTCAAACGCTGTGTGGATTTATTAATTGTTCCAAAAATAACTGGACTATCCCCTTCTAGAACTTTAAATCTTTCTGATTTGAACCCCCCCCCCCTAACGTAACATTAGCTGATCCTCATTTCTATGAACCAAATAAAGTACAGATATTATTGGGAGCTGAATTATTTTTCCATTTTTTAAAAGAAGGAAAGATTTGTTTAAAAACTAACAACTTAATTTTACAGAACACTAGTTTTGGTTACATTGTTTCAGGAAGTATTGATTATTCAAAAATGGAAACAAATCTATTTTCAAGTAATTTTTGTTTTTTGTCTATGGAAGATATAAATAATTCAATTAAAAAATTCTGGGAAAAAGAAGCAGTTGAGGAAAAGAAAACAATCAGTGATGAATTGACTTTTCGCAACAAACATTTTAAAGAAACACATTATCGAAAAGATGACGGACGATATATAGTTCAAATGCCGTCAAATTCTGATAATGTAGAATTAGGTGATTCTAAAGCTTTGACATCCTTGCGGTTAGAACAATTATGGAGAAAATTAGATAAAAATCCTAATATGCAAGTTCCGCAGTGGACTGATCGTTAAGACACGGTTCCCAGCAGATCACCGAAATCAAGCATCACTGACTACGGTCAGTGTGCGGGTGGGTGACCACTTGGATCAGTCTGCGTAGGGACCGAGGGTGTGCAGTATTGGTCCTCGTTAAACTGTGCTACCGTAAAGTGCTCGACTTCGCACGCAGGTCGTCGGGCTACCGAAGCGGGGTGCCATCCCCTCCGCAGAGAATCAAAATTGTGAAGGCATGTCTTCGGATCATCCTGCGGGATGTTTCCCAGACCGTCGCCAATAGCCCATTGTGCAGCTCTAGTGTGACGTAAATTAACAACAACAACAACCTAATATGCAAAAACTTTATTCTGATTTTATGCAAGAATAGGACGATTTAGGCCACATGGTTGAAGTAACATCGGAAGATAATTTGAATTCTGTTCTTCCTCATCATGGTATTTACAGACCTGAAAACTCGAGTACTACCTCTGCGTCGTTTTTAATGCTAGTGCTCAATCTACAAATCAAAAATCATTGAATGACGTTTTGCTTAAAGGAGGTATTGCAGTGGATCGTCTCGCCATTACGGCGATAACGAACTATCCTGGAACGCCGGTTTGGCGTGAACATTCAAAATTGGCAACCCTGCCACAGAGACTGTTTTCCCGCATTCGGGTTACAGCTTCGACCAGTGTAGCGTCGTAATTTTCACGTTCGTGCTAAGGCACGTGTTTATTTTATTCAAGATGTAAATTTACTAATTTCCTATTTCATTAAATATGTTTAACTTTTTATCTATGACTGGCATATATTAATTTCCTTTTAGATGTTTATTTAACTTTAAGTATTAATCTTTAAGTAATTAATTTAATTGCATGTGGCTTACCCATGTGCAATTAACTGGTGACCCGGCAAATCTTTCTTAATCTTCCGAAATATGCGAAGTCCAGTCTAGAATATTTTAATTTTCTATCTCTCGCAAATGATTAGTTTCAAAATTTCGAAATATTTTTTTCTCATATGGATTACACACGTGCATCTTCAAAGGTATGTGATCGAATTTTTTATGATTATCTGTGATTGGTCTTTTCCCTTAAATTTTATTTAATGCTGAGAAAAGTTTATTTTCGCGTGAACGTGCTATTTTTTTTCCTCCATTTTCTTTCATTTGTTTTATCATGTACCTATTCTTAATTTCTTTCATGTGTTGAGGGCGTAGTATATAGCTGATTTGAGCAAATAAGATATTAGTCTTACATATTTAAGGTATACTATTCTAATAATGCCAGATACACAAAATTATGGGAATGAAACTACCGGTACTAACGCTACCTCGCAAGTTTCTCATCTTGCGGTTAAAATTCCACCCCTGTGGAAGTTCAAAATTAAATTGTGGTTTATTCAGGTAGAGAGCAATTTCGCACTATCGAAAATAACAGACGATGTGACCAAATACAATCACCTCGTGTCTTCAATAGACCCAGAAACTTT